CTAACGTAATGCGGATTACCAGAAAACCAACAATAGTAGATCTGGTATCCAAACTTATGCAATAAAAGCACTGCCGTTGACAGGATTGAATAATAGATTGTTCTGGTTAAATTTACGTTCTACAAATTCTCGATAGGCTGATATATTGTCAATGCGTTATTAATCGTTTTTTAAAAGAAACCTTTGCATATTGTTTTTTTGTTTCAGTTCCCATTTAACTCAAATGCTACTTTTCTAATAGTCTTAAAAACAAGTTTCATAAGAAGCGCTTTTATCGCACTAGTCCATGTGTAGAAAAGGAATTTTCTAATGAACGAGAAAGAGAATTTTATGTATATCACAAGCACAACACAACATCTTTAGTCGAAAGCAAATGAACTGAAAATGTTAAATTATAAAATTATCGAACAGTTTTTCAGGAACAGGTTTTCCTCTACCATACCAATCGTATTCAAATGAGTGTAATTATCAAATCGAAAACGTCGAGCTCGCTTTAACATTGAAATAGAAAAAAAAGTTATATCCGGTTTTTAAGTAAATTATAAGTCCACATATCTTATGGAAAAGTGAAATTCAGGATATTGAGAAATAAGTAAATTAGAGATACATATTTCGTAATCAACACGTTCAACTGATGCTCGCCGTGCGTGAGAGATTTGTATGTCAACTATAGTTGCTGTTTATGGACGATTAAAAAATCGAACTCGAGGGACTGTAGGTGATAAATCAACACTATTCATCTGTACCACTCTTAAAATTTAATAATTTTTCCTGTAATTTATTTATTTATTTATTTATTTTTAATTTGTTGCCAGTACGTTCACATTAACAACACGTACGCAAAAATGTGTCACATGGTTACAAATAATAAAAAGTAAAAACACATTAAAATCTAAACATGGACATGCAAATATATAAAGTTGTTAGACATAAACAAATGGGGAACAATATATAGAAGTAATAAAAAACACTTAAGACTTATTTTTTTCTTAAAAATTCATCTAAGTGGTAATTAGTCTGTTTAAGCAAAAACAGTTTAAGTGTTTGCTTAAATCTTAAATCTTAAATTGATAGGACTTGAGTTCTTTAATATTACAGGGTAAAGCGTTAAAAATTTGGCAGGCACGAAATAACAAATTTTTTTGAAACAACGCTGTCCTATGTTGACCAGGGTTCAATAACGTCCTATGACGGGTATTGTACCTATCTTGAGTTTTTTCAAAACATGCTCTCTTTTTATACGCATAGCAACAAATCTCCAAAATATACGTATCTACTACTGTTAGTATGCCTAATTCTTTAAATAGCGGTCTACAAGAAGTTTTAGGTGGTAAAGAGTAAATTATTCTTATGACTCTTTTTTGCAGTAGTAGTATTTAAAATTCTGTGGTACCACACTTAGCTATGTAATAATCGATTTCGATCTATATGCACACAAAACAATAATTTAAAAATGTCCACTTTTTAGTTTAAACAGTTTGTGTCGATTCTGTTTCTGTTTGTGACTCCGGGAACCCTCGATGTATGATAGACGGACGGATGAAGCTCATATCAGTGTTATGTATAGGTACTTTCATTGTTTATTTTAACGCATTTTTTTTGTATTTTCGTTATTTACGTCGATATTCCACATTGAATATAGAGCATAATCTTTTTTCAGATGCGCAGGTGATTACTTTCAGCGCTCGCGTGCTTTAAACATATGTTTAAAAAATTGACTGACATTGTTAAGGCCTGTTGACCACCTAAGAGAAGGAAATAATACATAATATATTTATTTTTATACTATATAGCCGAATACAGAAGATACCTACATAAGGAAACTAAGAAAAATAAATATTGCCAAAATCCGAAGTCGTTTGAACTACGAGTACTTGTAATGGATATGGGGCATTTACAAAAAAATATAAATCAAACTTGACTTCATTTCATAAAAAAAATACTAAAAATAATAAACTAAACTAAACAATTCCATTACCAATTCGCGAAATAGTACATAGCGCTGTTCCAGTATCCACACCTGAACTTTTTTCGTTAAAGCGGTATAGGTAATCTTTTTCATTTCGCGCGGTAGAATGGAATAAAGCCTTGAAGCAATGTACTGAGCACATCGTTTACCGATTGTTTTTTCAGACCTTGGAAAAAGTATATGGTCTTCCTGGCGTGTATAATGAGAGTGCATGGTGGGCAGTAATTTTGGATGTTTTTCTGAACTGGAGGATTTTCTTACAGTAAAGTTGGCGTAAATTCATTACATTTGATTCCTTATACAGGGTGGTGCCTAGCGCAACGCAACACAGGGATGTCAATGGTAATTTCTTTATAGTCAATTACTAGCTCCCCTAATTATTTTAGAGCAAAAGTCTAATGAAGTTTTTTTAGAGCAAAAAATACTGCATCTGTTCATACGATTACTTATAATTTTCCGTTTTTCAAAACCGTAGAAATTAACAAAATAAAAAGGTTCATTTTTCAATAAAACAGATATGCCTTGGAATTTATTTTATTTTTCGATTTTATTTTATATACTCTTTATTTATTCCACTAAATGGTAACTCGTGCCTTCATGCTTATCAGTTTTGTATGTTCGTTCCATCATATGTCGTTGGTTTTTATATTACACCCTTGTGTCACATATATAATAAGTGTCAGCGTAAGCTGAATTATTATTATTTATTATCTAAATCAAAATTTTAATGTGTAGCGTACGTCCATATTTATATTTATTGAAAATTTGTACTTATATCTCGAATGTTGCTGTTCTATATTTACGTTATTTACATTGTGCATTATTGACATGTCAAAGCCACATTTGGTACTCTGACAATAAATGATTTGATTTGATTTGAACTTAATTACCTAAAAAATCAGCGATCACGTTTCATTTGCCTTTGACGTTTATTAAATTTATACTTGTTTATAAATTAGTTAATCATAAAATTGTTTATCATGTATTTAACTGACGAGAAATGTTAAAGTTAGTTTATGCTGGAAATAATGCTCGCCAAGTAACGTGTGTATTTAGTGTTAAGTAGGTAACCCAAATGACCGATTCCAAGCAGTAGGTAGGTACAAGACTACAGAATTAAATATAAAAATCGTCAAATATCGTCAAATAACGATAACTTAGATGCGATGCTCTTGTAGTTTGTTAAAAGATTCCCAAGCATCACTGATTTATAAAAATGTAATTTTTTATTTTGTCGATTTCTACGATTTGAGAAACGGAAAATTGTAAGTAATAGCAAACAAAGAGGGGTACTCTTTGGTAATAGTATGAACAGATGCAGTATTTTTTTCTCTACAAAAACTTCTTTACACTTTTGCTCTAAAATAATTAGGGGAGATAGTAATTAATAATAATAATAATAAACTTTATTTCCTCGTTTTGTTATAACACATCCAATAACACGAAAAAAAAGGAAAAAGGACTGCATTCAGTGCTTATAAGCTCTGTTCTTCCATGCAGCCCGGCTTGATTGATTGACTATAAAGAAATTATCATTGACATCCCTGTGCTGCGTCGTGCTAGGCACCACCCTGTATAAGGCTGTATAAGGATTCACTAGCATAAAATATCCCCAGCCAACAATTCCATACATTAACAGTGATTGTATTAACGAGAAATACAAAACACACATCTGTTGAGTGAATACGATATGTTGTAAGTGTTTAATTTTAGATAAAACTGCCCTTCTCTTCACTGGTCAACAAACCCTAAAATGTCAACTAAATCAATTTTGTAAACATATTCATGTTTAAAGCACGCGAGCACTGAAAGTAATGCACCTACATCTGAAAAAAGAGTATGCTCTATATTCAATGTGGAATATCGACGTAAATATCGAAAATACAAAAAAAGTGCATACCATCTTTTTTATACAAAATTTTATTATCTTTCTTTTTTTATATGAAACTTTACTTGCTAGAATGCACGGTTACCGAGATATCAGCGAAAAAGTGATTTGGAGCACCTTTTTTCCAAGATGGCGGCTCCAGCCATTGGAGTTTTGGTCCCGACTTTTAGTATGTTCGAATACAAGCCCTAATGTACCTCTATACCAATTTTCAGCTTTCTTTCAATTACTTCCGCTATTCGTGGAAATTTGATCTAATTTGACTGTACTAGGAGCGCGTGTCGAAAACTCACCGCTTGATCCCGTGCGTCCCATAACTCGACCGATGTTGGTCGCGCGACTCGAGATGAACAGAAACAGCGCGAAGAAGACTACCACAACTTGTACCAACACTTCGAAGTCGCACATTTTTCGGCAAACCTTTCGTGTGATTTGGTTGGAGGGGGGAGAGGGAGAGGAAGAGGGAGATTATTTAACAATATTAAATGTATATAAAATATGGGCATAGCTTCACCCATATAATACGCAATGCCAAAAGTTGGTTTTCATTGTTATTTTAAAGACATTTCGATAAAGCCAGATATTCCATAAGGAAGTTAAAAATCTATAGTAACCGTACATGCTACACCGAATTTTTCCTAAATAAGCATGAAATTACACAGTACTTCATCAACTAAAGGAATGAAAACAAATAAGTGCAACAGACATAGAGGTAGATAACTAAATTGCTTTATCATGGTTACCTTAATATTCGTGATTACTTTAGTATTCATAAATACTGAAGCTGGTATATTTAAACACACTCCATGTTCCCAGAAAAGAAATCAAACGATTTTCCGCCCAATCGCGGTTTGGGTCGAGTTTTAAAACTAACAAAACCAAATTGTTTCGCGCTGTGTAATGAAACGAAAATAACGGTTGCGAAAGGCATTGCATTTAATGAAATAAAATAAAATCAGCGTCGGGTATTCCGAGTAGCTTTTAATTGCTTCACATTTGTTTAGTTTTTATTGTTTACTGCGTACTGTACTTTGTAATTTATTTATCAATTATTTATACTCGTATTACTTCAAACGATGGATGGGTGGTGTTACGGTTCTTGTAAGGTTGACAGGACTGGCGTGCTTTGTGGGGTTTCATTTAATAAGTGAACAATGTACAAGTACAATGGCAGTAGATTAACTATATCCCTGTACGTTGCATTTATTTCAAATTTGCCCATTTGTTTCCAGTTGCTCTGTAAATTGGGAGGAACAAGGCTTCAATGTGAAAAGCTATATTATATTTCTCTTTGTATTTGGATTGGTGTTGCCATTAATAGTAATTGGATTCAGCTACATCAGCATAATTATTCGACTGAAGCAAGTAAGTAATTGCATTTACCATTTTTTGGCGTTGCTTAAATTTGGAAAGCAAGTATTACTAGAATTAATTAATAAATTTAATTTACAATTTGTATTCCAACAACTATTTTGTAATTATTTTATGAATTCAATCAAATGATCCACGTGCATTAGTTCCAAACGCTGCTATGATTTCCATTGGTAATAGGGAAAATCGCTGGAAGGGGAAGTTTAATAAAGCACATTTTATGTACGTGAAAATAATCAATACCATGGCTTCGAAATACAATTATGTAACATTTCAACGTCTTCTTTACTGAAGGAAGGGGTTAAACGCAGGATGTGGTGGGCAAAGGAGGATTTATTTACATCTCGAGAGTATGGATTTCATCGTCATAGCGTTCTGTAAGACCGAGGCTGTCTAAAGTCTAAAGGCAACTAGTTTATGGCATGGGGGGTGGCAAGAGTTAAAAGGGATTACATGGTTTTCTATAAATGTCGATTTGAATATTTGAACAACCTCTCGTCAATGACAGGTCCAGGAAATTTAGGGATGTATTTGTCTCGATCTCCAAAGTGAATTTTAAATTTGGGTGAAGAATCTGAAAACAAGCATCTAACTCTGACCTGTTACCCCTGAAAATCACAAAGATGGCATCGACATGTCGCTTAGAGAAAAGGAAATGGGTTTTTATGGGGTTAAGTTGAAAACGTTGGATTCTAGGATATTTAAAAAGACTTCGGCTAGTAAACGAGACAGGTTTACTGCCCATAGGCAAACCTGTAGTTTTGATATAATGGTTATTATTGAACAAGAAGTAGTTTTGCTCTGAGCATAGTTGGAGAGATGCCGAGATGAAGGAGCACGTGTCTGGGAGCGAGGAATTGGTAAAGGTTTTCATCGATAATTTCAAAGCAGTCTGAAAAAGGAATACTGAGGAACAGGTTAACGATATCAAAAGATATGGGAATGGATAGATCGTGTGTCACATATAAAATTGTATTTGAGAAATTTTTCGTATCTCGCCAAATAAAAGAGATATTGAGGGTTGAGGCGACCCTCTTATCTCAAACGCACTGCATTTTCCTCGATAATCGACCGTTTCCAGATTTATCAGCGACTCTGTATGAAATAGTTATTTACGTTATAAGTCCGGTAGGTTACTTGTAACAGTACGAGTTAGACATTATGGACGAGGCGACGTCAGGAGCCGAGTCAAGAATGTCTTAAACGAGTACTGTTACAAGTACTACCGGACATATATCGTAACGTATTTTATTTCATACTGTAAGTCTGTTTTGTATCATTATTTCATTTCAAAGATTACAAAATTTCATCATATTGTAAAATCGCATTACCTTGTTTCTGTGACAACGGCCGTTGCTATAGTTTGTAGTTTGTTGACAATTGAATTTTTTTCACTGAAAAATTGACGTTATAAACGTTGTGGGATGTTCCAATGTTCCCGATACAATCCTGTCGAAATCTCATGAAGCAACCGAAAAGTTGGTTCCTAAGAAGTCAGGCGCAGACAAGGTATGAAAAAGAGTACTAAGTGTTTTGCCAATTGAGGAACGAACATGGGGCGAAACAAGTAGAGGAAAAAGTCATGTTGGCATACTTTTTGGACGCAGTAAGTTTTTGAATTGAGATTTTTTTGCCTGGGTTTCGGTGTTAAAGCGTCATGGAGCATGGAAAAGCTCATCGACGGCAGAAAAATACATCGAAGGCTCGGTAGAAGGAAAAGTTAAGATTGCCCGTATGATACAACTGATACAAGGCGGCGAAAATTTCATTGAAGTTTTACAGCAGAAGGAATCAAACATTACTAACTCGACATTCAGTAATAACCCAGGCGTAGTGTTGAGGGCAATACAAATTGTTTCATTACAATCAATGTTAATGTTTGAAATAAAGAATTACAGCCAAATTTATGTTGGGGTTTTTAATTAATTGTGTGAAGATGTCAAATTTGATGTATACAAATAACAGTCCGGTAAGTGTTGCTTAGCGACACTTACCGGCTCGGATGCTGTAATAACTCACCTACCGGACTCAAAATGATAGTGTAATCGAACATCTACCGGACAGTATGAAATAAAAATCATTAAGGGTAGCGTATCTAAATTTCATTCAAATATCCATACGTTTATCAATTGAGCACTAAAATACGCATATTAGAGTCGGCGTTTTGCATTTTCCAGCAAATTACCCTCATGCTTCGGCTTAATTCATTTAACGGTTAGTATCTTTTTGGATAATGAAAAGCCCGATTCCTAATTGCGAAAAGTGATGTTAACTGTACTCGCGATCTTTTAGCAAAACTTACAATCCGGCCAGGTAAAGCAGTCTGAAAAACGAGTAACCATATCCATATTCGTAATGATCGTGGCATTTCTAACCGCCTGGATGCCGTACGCCGTGATGGCTCTAGTTGCACAATTTGGTGCAAAAAACAGCATTACACCAGCAATGGGAGTGATTCCAGCCATCCTTGCGAAAAGTAGTGTATGTTACAACCCCGTCATTTATGTCGCCTTTAATACGCAGGTACAAGTGGATTGTAATGGTGCGTTATTACATATACTTTTTGTTTTAGTTTCGCCACTCATGGATGCAAATGTTCTCGAAAGCGCGTCGTAGGGATACTGGAAGGACTACAAATGTGACAACCCTCTAATGTTTTTATATTTAAATGTAAACATAATGTACGAAGTATAGTTTATTTTTGTAAATTTTCTTATTTAGTAACGTTGAATGAAATTATCTGAAATGTAGCTTTTCTCTACAGAATTGACATACTAAAATCTTTCAAAACAAGATAAATTAATTTTTGAAATTAAAGACAAAAATTGTCAGACTAGTTTTATGGGTGACGTGTTCTGTTCCGTTTCACTACCACCTCCATTCAGCTATATTTTAGGGATTTATGTTTAAATAGGGTAGGTATATTATTATTATGTTATATCTGTATTATATTTGTAAACGACTTTGCATCGTATGTGAATAATGAATGTTGATAATATATATCGATGACATCGCTTTTGGGAACACAACTTAGAATTCCGTATTTTAAAGGGTAGGTATCCACTTGTATTCGTTTTAGTGTACAAATCCGCAGATGACTCTTTTAGGTCAATTATTGAAAAAAATCTTTTCAATCTAGTCGTTGTCTTTTCCCTTCAAAGAAAAGTGCTTCTTTAGAAAAGTGCACATTGTCTTCACACGCATCACACATCTGTAAAGTTGGCAACCCATTAAAACCACAAAAACCGCACTAGTCACATAAATTTGGTGCCCTATTTGTGCCTTTAATCATTTATTATAACGAAAAATATCGAAATGCCATTCAACTCTTTCATCTCGTCAAATGAAGCATAAAATCTGATTGATTTGTCTATTATTGTTTTTCGAACATTTCTCTATAATAGTTATTTATGTATTAAGGGCATAATAGTGATGTTTATATTCTCGAGGGCCTATGGCCCGAGAGCTTTTTAGTCGCCCGAGAGTATAAACATCAGTTTATGCCCGTGGTACATACAAAATTTTATGTTTTACAAATAGTTTTCTTCGTCAAAGTAAATATTCGTTTACAAAATGGTTTATATTTAGAACTCGATCCAAAACCAAATTTTCAGGAAAACATAAACCATATAAACCCAAAAAATAAAAAGCTAAAAATATACAGCGAGTTTTTTTTTAAATGCGAACATAGGAGTTTGCATGCAATGTAATTTCCCTATGTTCGATTTTTTAAAAAACACATCATGAGGTGTGCACGGTTCACATTCTCAAATCGCGCAACTTGTGTGACTATGAACAGCAACTCTATAGTCTTTATGATGAAGAGCACTAGGTAAGATTTTTTTAAAGAAGCCATACGAACCCATAGCAACTTTAGGATACATTTTTCTTAAACTTACGATAATTGGACCTCACAGGCCACGCACTGACACCACAACACATTGTGAACCAACCTTCAATTATTTGTAGGTCATGTGCACCTAGTATTCTACTAATTTGATCTATTCAATACATAAATGAAGAAAATAAGAAAATAAATACCGAAAACAATTACAATAAATGTTCGAAGTGTCCTCCTTGACATTCTAAGCAATAATGTGACAGCTGTCAATTGTATCTACTACTCATTTGAACTACTCAATAGATGATGTGTTTTTTTAAAATCGAACATAGGGAAATTACATTGCATGCAAACTCCTATGTTCGCATTAAAAAAAAATTCACTGTATGTATGAATAGAACGAACGATCAGAAAAAAACTTACGACTTGGCAACAAATCCCTTTTCAAAAAACCGGCTAATCGAACTCAAATTTCAAAAACACAACTCTTGGTAGGTAAGTAAACTATACGGTACTACCTTTGACAATATTATATTTGCAGTTTGCCATTAATTAGCAACAATTTATACGGCGTAATTCGCTTCACCGCCGCCGTCTTTTCGCTTTCGTAGCTATCAAGGAAGTATTGGCGCTTATCAATTGGAAATTTTGAGTTCCTTCAAGAATTTATTGTGATATAAAATTGAATAGACGAGAAAGTTACACTGTTAAAATGAATTTATTTTACACTGTGAAAATAAATTTGTTACATTACATTAGGCACACTAGGCACGTGCCTAGAGGCGGCAGCTTTAGAGAGCGGCATTTTTTGCACTATATTTATTTTAGGTAACATTTTAAGTTTTAAAATAAATCCCCTAAGGCCCTAACAAGTCACAAATGGAAAAAATTTTTAATTAAAATTATGAAATAAATTGGAATTGAACGATAATCGACAATGCAAGTTTCGACGTGTGTGAAAACGTAATCTTAGGTATACTGTATTTAATTCATATTAATTTTAAAAATTTCAAGTTATAAGGTGATTTTTATTAGCATCTTAAAATTTATTGCAATTGAAACTTGAAACTTTGACATATGCCTGGCGTCGCCGCCTCTCCCAGGATTTAGTCAACTGTCGTGAGGATGCGTCCCTGGTAGTCACTATCGGGGACGTTTCTCCACTACTTTGTTGCCATCGCGCTGGGCCGCGACATATGCCAAACAATGTGGTGGATTTTGCGGATTGGGGGGGTTGTGGGGGGGCGGCTAACTGGGTGTTATCCGACCCGAACGGGTACGGCCACAGCTTCGCCACTGGTATTCTGCCTTAGAGGGAACTCTGCTTTCTAGTGATAGCTTCTTCTCCGGGCGTTCATTGGCTTCCGATGTTCCTATGCTTTGGTCTCGTTCCCTTCCCTGTTTTTCCTCGTGTTAGGCCCTTTTTATTGTTGTCCTCCCCCTGCGTTACCTTCTGTCCCCTTTTCCTCCTCCCCTTGGCTACTTGTCTTTGTGTCTGATTCTTCCTCCACCTCTAGTATTCTTCTGCTTTCTTTCTTCCTTTGATGTTTGTCTCTACTCTTCTCTTCCCATCTTCCCATGGTAATCCCCGACACCTCTACCGTTTGGTTTATGGTGGTGTTCCATGTGTGGCAGGGTCGGCCTACCTTCCATTCCGAGGTACATAGAATCTTGGCAACTCGTTATGATATGGTCTTTGTTCCTCCTGTTGGTATGCCTCATCTTCAGTCTCCTGGTAATCGTCTTTCTCTCTAGTAGTTCTCTTCTCTATTCTTTGTTCCTCCTGTTCATTTAAAGATTATTTTTGGAGGGGCGCATTTCTTTCGGTATACCTAGGGGTGAAAAAAATTTAAATCCGCCACTGACTATAAGTATATTATGAACATAGCTTATGCGACAACAAATTTTCCAAGAACTTGGTTTTAAACAAGCAGTTAATTAATTTATAATCGGGAAACACATGCGAACGCAATTATCAAAACCGTCAGTGAAGTTAGCAATTCATTATAAGCACAAATGACGCTATATAGCCACACTAATCTTGACCTTTATTTGTGAATATATTTTTAAAAATGCCCATAGGCTATAAAAGAAAGTTGTAATATAAATTATACAAAAACTGGAGTTCCCCATTAGAAAATCTAGCATATTACGTGACAAGTTATCAACATTAAATTAGATTATAGTATCTCACCAATAATAAAAGTAACTAACTTAACTAAATGTCAACGTGCAATAAGTCTAGTGGTGTTAAACGGAAGTATGTTTGCATTAGAAACACGGGCAGTTCCCCATACATGCAATCCGTAGGTCCACACACGTTTGAAGATCATTATACTACCATCTGCTTATGGATACCGTCTTCTCCCGGTGAACATGACTTGGTGTTACGGATGGCGATTATAACGCGCAAGCAGCAAAATGCAAGGCACTACAAAAATACCATGTGCTTCATAAATAAAACACACGCCGCTGACCGGCCAGCTAGCTCTGTTGACCAAATAGCAAACAGTGGAGAGAGAAAGACTAATGTACAGGGTTGTGGGTAACAGAATTAACTCAATTGGTAATTGGCACTTATAACTCCTCGATCCAGCCTAGGTCGTCAGTACTTACTTTTGGTCGCTTCAATTAAAATCTATGGGCGCCACCTAATTCCAAGTTAAGTTTCGCTTGCCACTACCGGAACTAGGAAAGGTAGCTTTAGCGTTAAAGTAGGCAACTGATAACCCACAAAAATAAGTGTTTATTGGGTGCAATTGTACCTGCATACGTAACACCAACACAAAAGTTATGTTCCCCAAATGGGAATCAAAAATCAATAAAGTATAATAAACACGTTATGTAAAAAAAAACTAAACAACCCCAAGTATAAGTGTTGAAATAATTATCCCAAATTCCAAGGTTTACATAAAATTCCCCCAATGAAATATTACATAAATTTAGTAGCTGAAACTAGTTCACACCAAAAGTCCTGAAAGTAGGTATAGAACACCCACTACCGTTGCACAGTGATTGAGTTTAATGGGTTAAATTGACAGTGGATTGAATACCTTGATTGGTAGCTTGTAGCGTATCGAAGTTTAAATCATAGTATAGAGCTCTGTACTTCACAGGTGATTTACTTCACATGAGTAAATGCAGTTAATTAAAGCAAATTATTCCCTTTCAAGTTCAAGCGTACTAATTAAGAATAATATGGGTGGCTCTAGTGTTCGGCCAGTTAACATTTACCACATAAGTATGGGTTAAATGAAATGCAAATACACAAAGGCAATAGTTTAAACAATAATAAGATATCACCACTACGATAGGTAGGTCTCTGGTTCCTAAGATTCCTGGTGTACATGTAAACGGCTAACGGTTTTCTATGTACCGCAACAGGTGTCAAAAGG